GTCCATCCCCTATAAATGCTTCTTGTATCCTTTTTTATGAGACAGCAACAGTTTCATGGATGTAGCTATAGGAACATATAATACCCGTTTGTAAATTATAGAAAACTAAATAATGCCAAAACTTCTGCCTAAAGTTCCCATTGAATACTATTATTTGACTCATAAATAAGCAAAATATACCAATATATTTCACCTGTGTTTTGGACCGTGAATAAAATTATCAGAATTTTGGCATTCCTTTGAATATATTGTATGTAAAGTGGAACCATTATATATCCTGTATACCATCTTTGATGTAGTTATCATCTAGAGCTCTTATCAGGATAATGAAATATGAATTATGATAGAACAAGGGGGAGGGGGTGTTTATTGACAAGGGGCCCTAATTACAGCTTATACGGTATGTAAATATTAATGATGGTGTTATTGCACTGACTAATAAACATATACTTTACATTGTGTGTCTATCTTCAAAGACACGGACATTGTGTACGCTGTGTTGTACCTTGTTTGATTTGATCACTAGCGAGTCTGACACGATCCAACAATAAATATGATACAGCCGACTCCATGCTAATGATGTGATTCATCCCCAGATTCTCTGAGTAAACTCTGCAGCTATTTCTCCTAGCAACTTGATGCTGGGAACATTCAATAATTCCATTCCTATAATGTCTTTATACTTTTTTTTACCATTGTCATTCTTATAAATGTCTCGCTGATAATAATCATAAACATTTTACTGATATTTGAATACTAGCACAGACCCATGAGTTTTGGATGTTGAATTAACTATATCAGATAAGCAAAAATAATGAGGAATTTGCATATACAAATAGTCAAATTTGCTCTTTAGATAAGGGTTAGCGCTCCATAAAGAATATGTTCATTGCCAACTGCGTTCAAACTATCATATATATGCAGTCCAAATAAAGATCAATCCATATATATATACATTAAAAAAAGTAAAAAACAAACAGTCGAAGCGTGTTGATACGATGGTAAGATCATAAGTTCAGTGAATTGACTTTTGGTTTTGTAAGTATTTCACCTGAAAGCACTTGACTCGCATTCAGAATAGAAGACGGGTAAGTTATAATGTTCTCCGTTAGACCCACTCCAGTGTAAATCCCTGAGCTATAGTATACAAAACGTACCCTTATGTAATAATGACCAAGGCATTACTTATTTTTTCTCTATTTTGCAAATATCATTTTTAAGTGTTCACCAGTTGAAAACACTTTTCCAAATAGCATGATTATAATGCAATTGCTTGATTTTGCAGATATAGCTAATAAAGTTAATTTTGGCCCTTCTACAGATATATTCGAGTTTTACACAATCACTGTCCCTCTGCCGTGTACATTTTGTGGATGTCTCCACTGATAGATGCTAAGGAATATCTATCTCAAACAGTTAAGATCAGAAGATTTTCTAACTTGGAGTCACAATGATATATAAAAGTCTACTGGGAGAATGAATTTCATGAAAAGAAGCCAGACTTATATCACTGTATACTCTGTATGTAGGATATCTGGCCTCATCAAGGTGAAGAGAACGTTTGTTTGGAACCAAATTATCACTGTCTGATGCCAATCTGTATAGTGCTTCATGTTAAAAACTGTGACTATTTTCTGGCATCCAAGGATTTTCAGCAATATCTCATTATATAAAAGTAGCTAGCTATATAGGTCTAAGTTATTTTCCAGTATTAAAAGAAATTCTGAACTTTTCACCTTCAGTTTTAGGCTAGGATTTGGCCCATAATTAGTAAATGTCATAAAAATCTCACATTTACCTAAACAACTTTTCATATACCTAGTAATCTTTCCAAAAAAATGCCAAGTCTGTGGACATTTTGCCAACATAACGATGTTAGAATGACACTTGACTTCTCGGCCTCAACACAAAAATAACACGTTGCTGATTTAAATGGCCTTACAGAATATCATTTTATATATATTTAATCTTAAAGTTGTTTAAGTATTTCCCCTATCAAAGGTGTAATATATTGGATAATTATAATTATCAGTTTTAAGTTTTATGATAATTATCATCTGATTCTGAACCTCTAGTCTCTGATTATTAGCTCAACTGGTACGAAGGACCAAGGTGAGCTTATGCCATACTGTGGCGTCCATCGTCCGCCCGTCCGTACGTCAACAAATTTCTTCAAACGACTCCTTCTTCTTAACCACTGATTGGAATTTAACTAAATTTGACTGTAATTATCACTAGGTGTGTGGATTCAAAATTGTACAAATTATAGGGTTAACCCCCCAGGGGGCTGAGGGGCGGGGCCAAAAGGGACAATTGGGCTATATTGCTATAAACGACTTCTTCTGTAGAACTGTGCAATGGATATCAATCATTTTTGGTCAGAAGCATTCATGGGAGGCGGGGATTAAAAATTGTACAAATGGTGGGGCTGACCCCCCAGGGGGCTGAGGGGCGGGGCCAAAAGGGGTTAATTTGGCTATATTGCCAAAAACAACTTCTGTAGAACTGTGCAATGGATATCAACCATATTTTACTGGAAGCATCCCTAGGTACAGTTGTGGGATCGCACAACGCTACACGATGTGCGGTGTGCGCACGATGTGTGAACGGTGGGTGAACGATGTGTGCACGAAGTGCGAAAGATAAAAAATTGGACGATCATTGCTTGCGCACATTTGTGGGGACGATCGACGAACGTTGTGCGATAACAATCGTGGTTTGTGTAAATTGAGGAATGGCTTAACAATATATATGGTTTCGTGTTTAAACATATACACTTGATTTTTTTAGTGTGTTTCTATATTCAAGCTACACATCTATAAGCTTATCTTTCTGTCTATGCTTTCTTAAATATAGAAATGGTGTTTTCGGTTTGTCGACCTTAATAGACACATGTAAAATTACAACACAGTCTCAGCAACACAGGTAAACATAGCCACTTTGTACCTGGACCGTATTTTTCCCCCGCCCGGGGCACTTACATAACTTGCCAAGGTGTGAAAACCAGGTGAAGGGGAGCTAGACCAAAACGAATACAAATAACAAATATTAAACGTCCAGTTGTGTTTTCATAACGGTCATACGCTATCACGTGTCATGCAAAGGCCAGGTAAAACTCCGGTCACTCATCAAATTGTAATTTACCTGTTCTGTTATACGAGGAGCCAAACCCATTCTTGACAGTCTAACTGGCACTGTATACTGTGTTAAACCACAGAATTAATCTTAAGTCCGTGGTTACACGCATTGTAAAATTGTACATAATCTTATTTATTGTGATGAGAATTTACAGTAATATATACATCGTACATTATTGCATACGAGCCTTCCGTATTTTTTTCATTCCGTAATATCGATCAACAAATTGTACCATATCACACAGTTGTGCGGAGAGAAGCGCACAATGGGGCGAACGATTGTTAAATTGCACAGTTGTGCGCACCATGTGTGGACGATGTGCGGACGGTGTGTGAACGATGTATGCACAGTATTTTTGGTGCGTTGTGCGGTCACACAACTGTAGAGGGGATTCAAAATTGTACAAATGGTGGGGCTGACCCCTAAGGGGGCTGATGGGCGTGGCCAAAAGGTTATTTGGCTATATTGCTGTAAGCGACTTCTTCTCTACAACTAAAATATGGACATCAACCATATTTACCTGGAAGCATTCCTAGGTAATGGGGATTCAAAATTGTACAAATGGTGGGGCTAACCTCCCAGGGGGCTGAGGGGCGGGGCCAAAAGGGGGCAATTTGGCTAAATTGCTATAATGACTTAATTCTTCTGTAGAATTATGCGCTGGATATCAATCATATTTGGTCAGAAGCATTCATTAGAGGTGGGGATTCAAAATTGTACAAATGATGGGGCTGACCCCCTCAGGGGGCTGAGGGGCGTGGCCAAATAGGGTAATTTGGCTATATTGCTATAAATGAATTCTTCTGTAGAACTATGCACTGGATATCAATCATATTTGGTTGGGAGCATTCATGGGAGGCAGGGATTCGAATTGTACAAGTAATGGGACTGACCCCCTTGGCTAATGGGAGGGGCCAAAAAAGTTTATTTCTTGGAAATGGTTGAGATCCCCACCCTATAACCATATATACAATTACTGAGAATGAAGAGAAGAATGCACATATGCTTCCAGGATGGCCTTGGGGTCTGCCCCACCCCTTGGAGACAGTCCCTGGGTCATAACTTTGAAACGGTTGAGATCCCAACCCCATAACTGTATATACAAATGCTGGGCATAAAGAAACGAATGCAGTCATGATGTAAGAATTGATTCCAGAGTCTGCTCCACCTTTGGAGACTTAACCCCTGGGAAATAACTTTGAAACGGTTCAGATTACCACCCCAAAACTATTATACAATTGTTGGGCATAAAGAGACGAATGCAGTCATGATATTTTAATTGACCCGGGGTCTGGCCACAACCCTAGGGACCTAGTTTCTGAGTCACACCTTGGAAACAGTTGAGATCCCCACCCCATAACCATACATAAAAGGATTGTCCTCGGGGTCTGGCCCATTCCTTTGGATCTTATTTGGAGATATTTTGCCATGATTACTTTAATATCCAGGTGATCATTTTGACTCAGATATATATAGGTTATATAAAACCCAGTGTTTTTGTATCAAATAAGCCCCAAGAAGTTTGCAAGGGACCTCAGTTTTCTTTGATATCTCTCGCATGTTCTTACGGGTAAACACATTAGTCTCTTACACAGGACTCCATTTTTAAAAAGTCTTGTATTGTACATACATGCTGTCACCATGCATGACGGTAAATTTTGTAATGAGGTCTGATGTAATATATGTATGTTTAGATTGTGAATTAGATTATTCATAAGATGTATATATCGGGTAAGTAAAGGTATTTTTATCCGTAACAAGTCATGAAGACATATATGTCAACAACTTGTTCTGCGTCATTCAAGTTAAATGATGCTTGAATTGGGGACCATCTCAAAACTTATATATCTTGATACATAACATAAGTATGTACATATTGAACTGTTAATGCAGGTCTAGAGCTTTGAACTGTTGCAAAACATCTTGAGGGCAGTCAAATGACTATGTAAGAGCTTTGATGTATAGTGCTGTGTTTGGAACAAAGCATGGAAATACATATGAAGGTAAGGATCATCTCAAAACTTTAGTAATGAAAGTTAATGGGAACCAAAATGGGGACCATCTCATAATCACTACATCTCAATAGGCACTAGATAGGACCCTCATTGCAGCCCTCAAAGATTTCTTACATTAGAGGGGAACTTTTGTACACTGTATTTACAAAAAACACTAGGAAATATAAAAAGCCACTCGCTATTACAGTTTTTGATCATAATACTAAAAATCCACTCGCTCTTACAGTTTTTGATCCTAATACTAGATTAAATCTTTGAATATACAATACAATTGTATTCTGTTAATGTCATGATGATTGCATAGGTTAAATGAGTTCAGATTTAAGAGAAAAAAATCAATTAATGGAAAACTCTTACGGTAAATTAACTAATGTACATGTATAGTGGCATGGGTGCCCCGGTACATCCCCCAAATAACGAAACTTTCTCAATTTTATGAAAAATAAGAAATGATGGAATTCAAGAATTTGCCATTCAATCACTTTCACCTAGATGCTTCCAGCTATTGAGTTAAGGGTTGATTTTGTTTTTGTTCAAAATACATGTACAATCCATTGTAATATTTGATCAGTATGAAAGAAGAAATAAACCAAACAATGAGGTTTTACATTCAGGTTAAACCTTTCAAATTAGAAAAAGCTACAAATTGTGGTCTGATTTAAATGGTTACTAGCAGATGTCTCTCTGGAATGAGGAATTTAAATGAATTATGTGAACTGATTTATTAATCATGGGATAAATGATATCTGAACCAATTATATTTGATCATCAATTGTGAAACTCCTGCTGCAGATTGCCCGATTCTCATCACTAATGCATTAAACTTCAGTATGAAATGCCTTAATGGTCTTGAAGCTGTCTTAATATAAATAAAAATAAAAAGTTCAAATATTTTTCGTTTGATAAGATATTAAACCCAAATAAAGAAGATGTAGCAGATCTTGTAGAGTAAATAACTTAATCTGAGAAAGTAAACATTCACCTCTTATCAAGAACATGCAAGGTAAACCTGGTCGGCTTGTTCAAACACATCCAATAATAAATGTCTAATTGTATGTCATTGTGAGTATATTCCTATGGTCAACTGCTGAGGAAGAGTCAAGATAAATATAATATATATGGGATCTTACAGTAGTTTCCATTTCGTGTGAGATTTATGAAACGAGTCTAATAATTTTTCAATTTAGCGAGCCTTTGGCAAGCCAAAATGAAAAATTTGGCGACGTTTCAAATGAAGATATGTGGCATTTATTTCTGTAAAACGACAATTGTCATGCAACCTTGTAAAATGTAAAAAGCTGCAATTTTGACTCCAATATGTATGTACATGTACGTCTGTGACGTAATGTACTTTTTGTCCTAGGCATTCCGTCACAATTGAAACAATTGAAACTGACAACCAATCACAGGGCTGATAGGTCATATTACATGGGTTAATATTCAAAAATATATGACATGGGTATATTCACTGGATAACACAGTACATTATGTCATTGTGATAAAAAAATTGCAGAATGACAAGGATCCTTAAATGTGTTGTAACCAGGTACATTTTGGGTAGAGTTACCTTAATAATGATTTAATTTTTGTCTGGCCCTGATCATATCTCCTGTACAATCCTCAAATTGTGTAATCAGTCCACCTTACTATTTAATTGTACACTTAAATACATGTATTTGCCATTTAATTTCGTTTAAAAGGTTTTTCCCTGTTGACAAAAATAATCGTGTGTCGTGTATAAACATTTAAGTTTGTTTGAACAGTTTCTTTTTGAAATACTAATACGTTGTTTGGTATGATTGAAGTTATAACATACAAGGCCCATACAAGCCGTTTTACCTCCACAGTACATGTTTACCTACACACGATCGTGTGTGTATACACAGATATAAAACGTATTCTGTGGGTATACATATGTTGTATTTAATATAACTAATTGCATTGAATGTTCGTGATGGAAGGGGAATTGATCAAATACAGGGAAGGCCTAGACCTACAGGACATATGGATGTACCAACACGACATTGTGAGGCAGACCGACATGAAACGTGTTTACATGACGTCAGGCTGGAACATATGGTGTAGTGACGTGAGTTTTACAATCAGAATACAGAACTCGGTTCTATTTTAGTTCAGAAAAGAATACCCAGTTCTTAGTTAACTTAAGTAATATCAGCATTCCTGATTCCTCTAATCTTATAACGTACTCTGTAAGGTGGAGTTTTACGGGAGATTGAACATGGTAATTAGTGTATGGATATTTTCATGTTTTTTTTTATGGTGATTTTGAATTTTAATAAATAGACATATATACCTAAAAGTATAAAGATATTTTTTCTTTTCTTAACCACTACATCATTTTCTTGATTGAATATTGAATTTGAGTTTGTTTTACCGTATACATGTAAAACATTTTGTTTGGTGTACATTTACCGCCTCCCCAACAGACACCGCCTTTATATTACCATCACTTTCACTGACCCGCACATCAAGGTACCTTCCCCCACCTCCCGGAAAATGCATAAACATGTGTTTTATAAAATCTACAGGTAATAGTGTGAACTTTAGGTTGGGTGGTGTTCCTGTATAGAAATTCATGTTGAATGTAAACTTAGCGTACCTTGATACAAATAAACATGTAAATCCACAACCCCCACATACCAATGTACCTTCCCCGGCCTTCCCCAAAGTTACACATCAAGTGCATCAGCATGTGTTTTATATAATCTACAGCTATAGTCTAAACTCTGGGGACCTCCTCGTTCCTTGTACAGAAATTCATGGTCTTTGTAAACTTTGCAGACCCTGGTCTATTTATATTATACATGTACATCATGTCAGATTTCTTTTTAAAGTCTAACATTTCAATTCGTGTCTCCAGTCTTTTTACTGAAACAATAAAAGTGTGCACGTTGATCTGATGTGTAATGATATTAGAGATAAAAATCTAGTAGACATTTATGAGAACCAAAGAAACATAAATGATGTCAGATCGGTATGTTAACAGGAGTTGTATATGATCAACCTTAAACGTTTAAATGTTTTAGGCGTAACTTAATAGAAGTGTCCCATAGTTTTCTGCGTCATATGACACCAGACTGAATGCACTGAGTGCTCTTATGGATCCCCACTGCCAAAAAACGTATCATTGAATTGGTAACTTTTCCCTCAGCATACCTATAGCTATGATAAATCATATTTGAGAGGAAAACCATATCTTGTAGAAGATTAATGAAAATGAGACCAGACAAGAATTTGAATGTTGAACCTTCAATCATTATACTATACCTCTAGCCAACTGAGCTTCATGGTCAACTGTATCACCTTGACCAAGTCATGCTGTATAACATTCCAAATGAAATTAGGGGGAGATAACTGTATGTGCATTCAAAACAGTGGAATTCTCTAATGCAGTGGTACAGGAATCCTTAAGGACAACATGTGACCACAGCAAATATGTAGCAAAAATATAACATGTTTTGACCATGCTATATTATACTGTATGTTAGTTGTTATAACTTAATGTCTGGTGCTATATCATTATGTCTGGTGCTAAACCTTTATGTCTGGTGCTATATCATTATGTCTGGTGCTATACCTTTATGTCTGGTGCTATATCATTATGTCTGGTGCCTGGTGCTATATCATTATGTCTGGTGCTATATCATTATGTCTGGTGCTGCATTGTAATGTCTGGTGCTGCATTGTAATGTCTGGTGCTATATCATTATGTCTGGTGCTATATCATTATGTCTGGTGCCTGGTGCTATATCATTATGTCTGGTGCTATATCATTATGTCTGGGGCCTGGTGCTATATCATTATGTCTGGTGCTATACCTTTATGTCTGGTGCTATATCATTATGTCTGGTGGTATACTGTATGTCTGGTGGTATACTGTATGTCTGGTGCTATACCATATTTCTGGCGCTTTAATGTATATGGTGCTATATCGTTATGTCTGGTGCTATACCATATTTCTGGTGCTTTAATGTATATGGTGCTATATCATTATGTCTGGTGCCATACTGTATGTCTGGTGCTATACCATTATGTCTGGTGCTATACCTTTATGTCTGGTGGTATACTGTATGTCTGATGCTATACGTTTGTGTCTGGTGCTATACCATATTTCTTGTGCTATACAGTATATATGTCTAGTGCTATATCATATTTCTTGTGCTATACATGATATATGTCTGGTGCTATACCTTTATGTCTGGGGGTATACTGTATGTCTGGTGCTATACCATATTTCTTGTGCTATACAGTATGTCTGATGCTATATGCCATTATGATGCCCATTTCAAGATTGTGTGAACACACCCATCTAATGATCTTGTTGGAAAAAGTTATTATTTTATATTGCATGGGGCATTGATTCATAGTTATTGTGGTGAGATTTGTTTTTCATCACATTTCTATTTATTGTGGTGAGATTTGTTTTTCATCACAAGTCTATTTATTAAAACAGACTGACTATATGGCACTGTATGGCACTGTATTTATTTGTTTGTTACATTAAAAAAAATGGTTTATTGATTTTTTTTATGGTAACAGAATAATATGTGTTATTGTGAATAACAGTAGTGTCAAATTCAAGCCATTTACAAAGTTGTCAGACCATTTAAATATTTCTGTTCCTAATAATCTCTGTGTATTAAGTGTACCGTACATAGACTGTTACACTAATACCGTTACAGTTGTTAGTTTGTTGATAACAAGTCATTTGTTTAAGCGAGACAATCGACCTTTATGTTTGATGATTATAGCTGTGTATAGTATGTCACACACTGCTGGCTACACCTGGCCGATACAGGTAGAACTTATATAAATAAGTGTATCGAGTCTTCTTAGGAATTTAATAGGTCAGCTGTGTGCCACTCAACCCTGAATTATACCGGTAAGTCCTTATAATTGTAATATCTTAATCTATAAATTGATGTGTTTAGAAGCAATACACTAGCATTACTATATTTCTTCAAACATAAGTATGATACTCAACAATATATATAAAGTATTTGCAGTTCGGTGACATTCATTATATAAGTTTGTCTCTGCTCCTTTTCTAAGTAACAGCACATGTACAAGTAGTACAAGCAGAAACAATACACAAACACAGACTGTGAATTGACTTTGCCAAGTCTATATACTGTGTAATTATTTTGTTGAAGTGACAGCTGTATCCGTTGTAATTAATATAATAAAGTACAATATAGTTGAAGGTCTGGTTAGCTTAAGAACAACGTTAATGCAAAAACTAGAGTTTCCTATATTGATTAGGATTCAAACTCATGTCCAAAGACACTTGGATGTTTCTCAAAAATATATTTTGTGAAATTTTCTGTGAACTTTTCAATAAGATAATGAGGCTTGATCTACTGGGTAATCCTCATAGTAAAACCTTAACATAAGGCCCATCATTTCATTTACCACCTCATAGGCAATGTCTCTTACATTTAGTAATTTCTTCATCAGTCGCCCGTTTGCTTAGCTCCTTTGAAATGTAAACAATTATTGCAAAAAAGGTGACCTCAAAATTGGTTTATTTTCTATAACACTGCCAGCATTTCCAGCAATAAAACGGATGGCAATATTTAGGGAGGGGGATTGAAAAAGAATGGTCATAAAATGGGAGGATTTTGTAAGGGGAATTTCCAATGATGTAAGAGTTCTGAAAATCTGTCAAGTGTTTTGTTAACAATCTCATCTATTGAGAAAACAACATAAGGGGGTAGACTCATTAGTTGTTCGCGAGCATCTTACCTTGATACTGCTTTTTTTGGTAGATTTAATACGGTACTGCAGATAAGGCACCACCCATAAAACAATACCACTTTATACTCATTCTACAAAAGATGCACAACTCAAAGCCACGCGGTAATCATGGAATATTGTTAAAAGGCCTCGTTTGCATGCATGTGTAAACATTTGGGCGTGCATGTTGGATATAATTGGACATGTTGTGTGTTATGTCTGTGAAGAACCAGCATTGTTTCTATCAATAACAAGTCTGTTACACATCTGTTGGAAGCACATGAAAAGGTCAAGTTGTCGTATTGTCTAGCAGTCTATTATACATGTGTTGAAATCTGCCAGATTCCATTTCACAGATGTTCAGCTTCTGTGAAGGCTGATTAATGGCAAGTGAAAAACTGTTCCATAAAATTTATCTTTTCATTTTATAACAATTTTGGAGTGTTAATGTATTAGAACAAGTGATAGAAAGAAAATATCTGAATTTGTTATAGCATTTTGAGATGGAACAGTGTCGAAAGCTGGTCATACTTTGGATAATTACTACTACAGCTGGTGGAATGCTGTGTCTGCTGGTACCATTGAGCAAAGCATGATCAACTTAAAAGCTAATTATCCAAAAAACATAATGTGTCAGTAATAATTCTTGATAAGTATCTAAACACATATTTTTACTGTATTAAAGAAGAAAAAATAACCAAATTTGTGAGTGAATCTACAAAAAGTCTAAAAATCAATGACAAATAATTATGTACGTAGATTTTAAGAGTTGAATTGTATGTAATAAGATAACAAAGCTTCCTTTAGCTTACATTCAGGACAGGTTCACAGCCTCTGTACCAGTAGAGGTACTCCCTAGTTATAGTGTAGTACATGTTAGTAGAAGCTGTATAGGGGTTCACAGCCTCTGTATACGTACCACCCTAGTTATAGTGTAGTACATGCTAGTACAAGCTGTATAGGGGTTCACAGCCTCTGTACCACCCTAGTTATAGTGTAGTACATGTAAGAACAAGCTGTATAGGGGTTCACAGCCTCTGTACCACCCTAGTTATAGCGTAGTACATGTTAGTACAAGCTGTTAGGGGTTCACAGACTCTGTACCAGTCGTGGTACTCCCTAGTTATAGTGTAGTACATGCAAGTACAAGCTGTATAGGGGTTCACAGCCTCTCTCCCAGTAAAGGTACTCCCTAGTTCTAGTGTAGTACATGTTTGTACAAGCTGTATAGGGGTTCACAGCCTCTGTCCCACCCTAGTTATAGTGTAGTACATGTTAGTCCAAGCTGTATAGGGGTTCACAGCCTCTGTCCCACCCTAGTTATAGTGTAGT